CCTCACCAACCCCCCACCAAAACTTTTGCCAACCATAAAAAGGAGCCAAAAATGGACTTCCCAGGCCCATAACAGTCCCCAAATATTAGGACATATCTGTTTCCTGGGGTCACAGAGTGTGGATACAAGGCGAAAGTGCTTCCCCCACATTCCACTTCCCTTGGGTAAAGCAATAAGGGTCAGTTTGGGTTTTGTTAAGGAAAAGGCTGTCATTCCCAGAAGGAGCAAAAATTCTTTGTAACTACCATTTCCCTATCATCCCAGATACTGAAAGAACACTTAAGCTCCTTATTTCTTCTTCTTTTTTTTTTTTATCCTCACCCGAGGACATTTTTCCATTTTTTGTTCAGGTAGAGTGGGAGGGAGAGAGAGGAACAGAGAAAGAGAGAGAAACATCGGTGTGAAAGGGACACATCGAGTGGCTGCCACCCACACGACCCCAACCAGGGCCGGGGACACACTGCAACCGAGGTACGTGCCCTAAGCGGGAACCGAACCCGGGTCTCTCAGGACCACAGGCCGACGCTCTAACCGCTGAGCCAAACCGGCCAGGGCGAGCTCCTTATTTCTTGACTCCCTTGTTTCAAACGCGACAGTTTATCCCTTCATGCATTCCTTTGGCACTCTGCTGGGTTTGGGACCACCAGAAGAAGCCTAAGGCAATCTCCAGGGGAGCCCTATGGGTTAACACCTTTTCCTGTGAATTGGAGATGGGAAAGCAAATCTTGGTCTCCCTGACACTTTGACAGTAACTGAAGAACTTAAGAATTGGGTCTGATGTCCTTTCAATTGAGCCAGTTCAGGGCAGGGCCCCATTGAGCCAGTGTTCCAGGGGCAGTGGGTAGATGGGAATGTAAGGAAGTGTTCTTAATGGGGTCGAGGAAGTTTGGGGCATCCTGGGAACAGAATGTGCTGGCCCAGGCCCTGAGCCATCCTGAAACCCCTCCCACTTCCCTGGTCACTAACCAGTTCCAGCTGTGTACAGTCCTGGCCATGGCTTCCCATCTGGCTTCTAGGAACTCATGACTAATTAAAGGAGTTCATGTGTGTGGGCGGGGTTCTTCTTAAAAACAGAGGTTTCCAGAGTAACGGCTTGGAGAGAACTCAATCCCATTCAGCCAGGGAAAGTTCCCTTTATTCTGACTCCCTGAGGAGAAAACCAGCCTCTCCAGATCAAAAGCAGTGCCTGGGCTGGCCTTAGCTTGGTTACAGTTTAAATTTTCTCACCTCCAGTTTCCAATTCCAGGACCCAGACTTGCCCTTTATATACCAGGATGTAGTCCTTCAGGCCACCCTGTTAGTATCTGTTAGAGGGGTGGGTGACAGTTTAGAGACTGGCTTCTCTTGGGCTTAGAGATCTCTACAAACCTTTGCCCTCCACCTATAGCCCCATAACCTCTGATTATTAGAACATACTCTCAGAATCTAACCTAATCTCTCCTGTGACAGGTTAACATACTATAATTAAAAATATTTCTATACAAACTCTTCTGCCATACCCTGTGGACAAAGAGGGAAACCAGATTGCAGGAAGAGAGCAAGCAATCCAAAGAGGGAATTCTCTCACAGAATCAAGTTCTCTTTTTGCGGTAGGCAGACCACATGTTCTAACCCTTCACACACATTCCCACATGTCCCCCAGTGAGAGATGACAAATTCTGAGGGAAAAAGAGCTGGGTCAGCCTGGCTCAGGGTGCCAGAAGGGGAGGTCATGATACCTTTAAGAGAACAGAGTTAGTCATGCAGTCCTTGAACTTATGCCCTGCCTGCAGCTCCTGGTTCTAGGGGGATTTGTTTGGGTGCCCACGGAAACTCTTGGGAGGCTTCAAAGATCATAGCTTGAGCCTGCTTCCAATTCTGTGACCCAAAGCAACCTATTGGAGACTCGTTTTCTTTTTCTATAAAAAGGTGATAATACCAGCCTTCAGAATTGTTGTTGAGATTTAAATAAATAAAATATTTGGCAAGTTTTACTATTTTATTCTATTCCCTCCTGGTTTCTTAGTATCTAGAATGTGGTTCTATCCACCAGGGCTTCTGAGGCCAGAGTGAGTGCTCACTCTGTCACCTTTCATGATAACTACCATCTCTCTCATAACACACACTGCTTCCTAAACAGCCCCCAACTGCTTTTAAAAAAAATCTTCACCCAAGAATATTTTTCCATTTATCTTCAGATAGAGTGGGAGGGAGAGAGAGGGAGAGAAAGGGAGAGAGAGAGAAACATTGATGTGAGAGGGACACATCAACTGGTTGCCTCCTGCACAACCCGGTCCAGGGCCGGGACAAACCGCAACCCAGGTACGTGCCCTTGGCTGGAATCGAACATTACGACTCATTGGTCTTCAGGCCCACGCTCTACCGCTGAGCCAAACTGGCCAGGGCCTCTTTTTTTTCTTGTATGAGGTGCATAATGGGAGGGAATAATCTGCTCTCACATTCATTTTACTTTATTCCTTTTCCTTGTCTTCCTCCTCCTCTGTAGTCTCCTCTCCCCCCACCACCCTCAGCTCCTGTCCCTCCCTCATTATCCGTACTACTTCCTATTGCTTTCTCTTCCATCTCAGCCAGTCTCCAGGGCTGTGGCTGGGCATGCAGAGCTGGAGCTGAACTCAGAGCCATAGGTTCAAGTAAATGCATAAAATTGTTACTAGTGATTCTCTTCCGGGTAGAATTTATTGGTGGATTTCATTTTCTTCCTTGTTTATTTTGATATTTTCCAAATTTACTACAATGAGCAATGAATAACTTTTATTCAGGAAAAAAATTCTTTAATCAGAAAAAAATTAATAATTTTCTTTTTTTCCATATAAAACCTGTTATAATTTTTATTTTTTTGAAATTTTTATTAATTTATTTTTGTTACAGATGTTTCTCCATTTCCCCCTCTAGACACCGTCCTCCCAACCCTGCCCCCCCACAACATTGTTGTCTATGTCCATTGGTTATGCACACATGCATATAAGTTCTTTGATTTATAAAAAATTATAATTTTCCATTGGTCCATGTCTTATTCTCAAATGAAGAGGGACTGAGGGATGGGGTGTGGAAAGAGGCACAGATGGGCAGGGTGGAGAAGGAACCCTGCAGGGGGTTGATCATGAGCTGTTTCCCCAACTCCATCATTTCCTGAGGGCATCAACCTTAGTAGTGGCTTCAGTTATGGCCTCTGTGACTCATCAGTCAGAGGCTCTCTGTCCTCTGTTGACTGTCACTGGCCATTTGGGACTTAGTCACTTGATTGTCACCCAGTTGAGTGCTGGGTGGGTCAAGGTGACCAGCATCATTGAGGGTAACAATATGAGTCAGGAATATCCCCCACCTCGATCCTGGGGTGTGAAGGGTTCCCCTGTAGTCTATCAACCTTTTGGGCTGGGGTGTGGGGAAGGACTCAAAACTGGAGTCCTATTGAAACATGAGTTTAGTAACCTTTTCCCCCATTCCTATCACTACTTCCCTGTGCATTTGAACGGTTTGCAAATGTTGTGTGATGCATAAATGATAGTGGAACCTTCCCTGACTCCTAACCATTTAAAGAACAAAGTTCTAGCCCTGGTCAATGTGGCTCAGTAGGTTGGAGCATCATCTTGTGTACAGGAAGGTTGTGGGTTCAATTCCAGATCAGGTCACATACCTAAGTGTCAGGTTCAATCCTCAGTAGGAGGCAACTGATCGACATAGATATTAATTTTTCTTTCTCTCTCTCTTCCTTCCTCACTGTCTAAAATCAATTTAAAAAAAGAACAAAGCTCTAAGAGTCAAAGTGCATGGAAAGAGCATGAGTTATGTAGTCAGCAGTGGGGTTCAAATGTAGGCCAGACCAATTAGGAGCTCCATGTCCTTTATCAAATTTCCCTCTTTGGATTCCATTTCCTCTTATAAAAAATGGCCAGAATGATTCTTCCCTCATAGGAGGGTTGTGAGAATTAAATGAGATAATAGAAATCAACTAACACAAAGTAGGTTTCCAAATTTTAACTTTTTTTTCTCTTCCTTACATAGCATTCAGGACCCTCTAAACTCTGGTCCCCACCTTGGTAATTTATTTGATAAAGATTTATTAAGAATCACCTGAAGCATTAAGCTAGCCTGGGGTAGGCACTAGGGACACAGTGGTGAATGAAGTAGTACAGACCCTCAGCACTTACTGAGCACAGCTGGCTTTTCTCAGCTCTACTCAAGACCTGCACTACCCCTGTCCCTCAGTACCCTTTAACCCATCCAACTCGTAGGCAGCCTCCAAAGTCTGCCTTCTCAGCCAACCTTTGCACATCCCCATGACCCTTAGAACAGACACCCTTTGCCTGGCATCCTTGTTCTCCTCACTTCAGGTACTTGGATGGCCTTACCCTTATCTGTAAGTTCCTTGTGAACAGTCTTCTACCCTTTACTTCTTTGTGCCCTCGTTAACCTCTACCCCCATACCAGGCTCATTAAATTCTTGAAATTATGACTTTTTATTAAAGTGGACACAAGTGGGCTTCAAGAGCATCTAAATTCTCAACGTGGTCTTGGGGGAAAAATTTTAAGACCTCAACTCTGATTCCTTCACCTGACACCCAAGCACCTAAGCTACTTTCTACATCTTAGCTTTTATTGCTTTTTCCCTATTCCAGAGTAGACAGGGAGACATGAAGGTTGAAGATGAGGAGTTTTCTGCCCCAGGGTTCCTGGAGCACAGAAATGTCCAGCTCCAGGGGATGACCATGGTCCCTATCCCTAGTGTCTGCAGAGATTCTGCTTCTCATCCAACTACAATGCTCACCCCCAGGACAGTACAAAAAGTCTTCCCATCTCCAGCAGAAGACTCTGGAGCATGGGTTGGGGGATCTTCTCGACTCTGCACTCTGGCAGGGCAAGGGTTAATGGTGAATTACAACATATCTCTGGGCCTCTGGGCTGAGTCACCTCCCACCGCCACTCCCCCCAATTCCTCTCCCCTGAAGTTTTATAAAGAGGACCAGAGACTGGAGAGTAAGAACAACTGGATGCAAGAGCCCCCCACCCCGCAGGCTCCCAGAAATTTCAGAGCAGAGGCCATAGTCAGCCTTGGGAGCTCCTGCCTGGTGGGGTCATGAACGGGTGGCTACTGTGGCTGGGCTTCCTACTTCCCATGACAGTCATAGGCCGGGCTCTAGGGCCTGCAGAGGAGGCAGCAGTGGTGAGTACTCTGGGTAAGAGGGACCTAGGCCAGGGGAGGGTTTAGGGTACTGTTCTACAGTCTCATCCAAGCCTCCCTCCTGGTCTCCAACCTGCCTGCCTTTCCCTTCCTTCCTCCACAACATCATCTACCCCTGCCCATCTCCCACTCTTTCTCTAAGGTGCCTCTCTTTTAATCTTTCCACATCTGTCTCCTCCTATCCTCATGGTCCTATTAGGTCACTTAGAGGCTTTACCTTGAGGCTAACATGCTCTTTATTCTGCTAACTCCTACCTCTGTCATAGGACTACCTTTTGCAATATGGGTACCTACAGAAGCCTCTAGAAGGACCTGATAACTTCAGGTTAGAAGATATCATGGAGGCTCTGAGGTGAGAGATCATAAAGTGCATGCCTTTGGGGTTGAGGTTGGAAGGTATTTCCCTCTTCTCCTCCTTTCCTCTCCCTACCCTTGCAGGGCCCACCCCTGCCTGACCTAAATCCATGGTGAGATCTAGGAAATGGGTGATTATCACTGTTAGGGTGGTGGACATGGGTTGAGATGGGGATTCAAAGATGAGAAGCAGTCATTGGATCTTCTGAGGCTCTAGACACTCCTTTGGAGGCTCCATATTATATTCAGGTACTAATACTGAGTCACATCCCACGTTAAGTATAATTTATATGTAAAACTATGAGTTTAGTTGAGGTTGAGTTGTTGATATGATGATGCCTTTTGTAGACATTTAATTAATCATTTATTTGTTTTTATTTATATTTGGATCCAGTGGACCATTTTTTGTTTTGCTGTCACGTATGTTCACAATCCCTTGAAAAGCCATAGCGCCTGCAGTGCCTGATGGATGAAATTGCTACAGAGTAGGCTGGATGGGAGGAGTACCCAGCCAGGAGGGGAGAAGGCTGAGGGAGGACAGGCCTTCAGGTGGCAGCAGTGGTGGGAGAGTCTCCAGGGCAGGGTGTCAGGACATATCGCCAGAGCAGGTTCGATGGCAATGGTGGGGGAAAGCTACACCCGAGGGGAACCTTACCCAAACAAGAGACTGGAGATGAGGAGGTGAAGTTGGAATACCCCATATCTCCAGAACAGAAGAGAAATTCCAAAGTCTGAGAACTGGATATAGGAGTAACCCCCTCAGCTTCAGAGATTCTGTGCCTTCTCATCTATCACCTGGGCAACAGAGGACCAAAGAGCTTTCCCTAGTTCTCAGTCATTCCAGATGCCCTTACCTTCCTAGACCTATCCTTCTCCCTCTTTTCAGAGTTTTTCAGGAAGTATCTGAGCTTCCAGTCTCAGGTCAGTTGGATGATGCCACAAGGGCCCGCATGAGGCAGCCCCGTTGTGGTCTGGAGGACCCCTTCAACCAGAAGACCCTTAAATACCTGCTGTTGGGTGAGGCCTGAGCCTGGGAAAGAGAGGGATAGGCAGAGGCGGCGTGGGCAGCCTATGCTAGCTTAGTGTTGAACGGATGGTCACCTGGTGATTACCTGATCATCACTTGCCTGGAGGGGATGTTACATAGCTTTGCTGAGTGAATGCACTAACTCAGTGGAGCTCTCTGGGATTGGCAGAAGAATTTGTGTTTCTAATCTATTTTCCGGTCCAATAATCAGGCCGCTGGAGAAAGAAGCACCTGACCTTCCGCATCTTGAACCTACCTTCCACCCTCCCACCCCACACAGCCCGGGCAGCCCTGCTTCAAGCCTTCCAGTACTGGAGCAATGTGGCTCCCCTGACCTTCCGAGAGGTGCAGGCTGGCTGGGCTGACATTCGCCTTTCCTTCCATGGCCGCCAAAGCCCATATTGCTCTAACAGCTTTGATGGACCTGGTAGGTACCAGCTCCTGGCTCTCACCAAACAGGCCTCTGGGATTATCTCTGTCCTCTTGAGCCAGGCTGATCCCTATGACCAACTGCGCCCTACAGTCTCTAAACACCTTCTAACATTCCCCTGGGGAAAGCTGATCACCTCGCTGGGACCCTGCTCAAAGCATACCCCAGAGAGGAGTGGACCAGAGAGGAGAGAATGGTTAGAAGGTAAAGTGACAGAGTGATGGTCATCCCTGTGAGAACTGGGTGATGACAGGAGAATCTGAAAGAAAAGAGAGAGGCATCCAAGAGACAGTGACTATAGATGAGGGAATTTTATGGGAATGGAGTGATTGGAGTTTATAACAGGCAAGGGAGCTCAAGCCTAGGAGCTCTGATCTCTTTCCTGTTCATCTTTGCCTTTATCCAGGGAGGGTCCTGGCCCATGCTGACATCCCAGAGCTGGGCAGCGTGCACTTTGATGAAGATGAGCTCTGGACTGAGAGGACCTACAAGGGGGTGAACCTTCGCATCATTGCAGCCCACGAACTGGGCCATGCCCTGGGGCTTGGGCATTCTCGATACACCCAAGCCCTCATGGCCCCTGTCTACTCTGGCTACCGGCCCCACTTCAAGTTGCACTCAGACGATGTGGCAGGGATCCAGGCTCTCTATGGTAGTTCTTTCCCCTAGTGATCATGAGGGTCAGTCTGATCAGCTTCTCTTCAGACTTGAAGAGGCAGGTCTAATCTCCATGGAGGGAAATGGCTTGGCTTATTTCTTTTCCTCCTGCCCAGTTATTCGGACTTCTATTTTCAGGAACTCCTTTTCTGACACTTCCATATCTAATCTTCCTTTGGGGCCTTTCTCCCCTCAGACCCTTTCTTGGGGATGAAGAATGAATATTCTAGCAAACCTCCTTCTTCCTAAACTAAAACATGTCTCCTGCTGATGTCAATCTGATCTTGCCTCCCACCAAGGGAAACTCTCTAGGATTCCCTTTCCCCATATCTATGGGGCCTCTGAGCCAAATTCACAGAAGAGTGAGGAGATCAGGAGTTATGAGTTCTCTCTCTAAGCAGCATTACATTACCTTGCAGGCAAGAAGAGCTCCGATACAGGGGATGAGGAAGAAGAGACGGAGCTTCTCACTGTACCCCAAGTGCCCACAGAACCCAGTCCCATGCCAGACCCTTGCAGTGGTGAACTGGATGCCATAATGCTGGGTAGGAGGCCTTTCCCCTCCAGGCTATTGCTAACCAGTGGGGGCAGCCTGCTGACCTCGAGACCTGGACAAATGGATATGACATGGGATAACAGCATGAGCAATGGAGGTTTGACACTAAGCAGGAGTTAGTGGTCATGGAAGGAGGCATGTGGCATGGGGAGGGAGGGTTCAGAGCCAAATTAAAAAATAAGCCAGGCAGGCATTTACTTTAGTTGCTACCCTGTAAGGGCCACTAAAACACATCTGGAAATGCAACAAGATGGAGAAAACTATATTAACTGGAATATCTATAAGAGAGAGTATTATACCTGCATGGAATGATAACTTGGAAGCCACTTGGGGTGGAAAGTGAGGTCTCCAAAGGGGGAGCAGCTATCTGCATGGTTTTTGTTTTGGTGAGTGGTCCAGAGCTCAATTGCTCTGAACAACAAAGGAGAGGCTGAACTCTGGGTCCTCCTTCTTTTTCCCCTTAACCTTATCGAATTAAAGTGGAATTAATTTTTGAGAAATCAGCCTGTGGGAGAAGGGCAAATTTTCAGACTGCCTGAGATAACCACAAGTCTTTATTTGATCCACGTTTTTTAAATTTGTTGACATACTTTTGCTCTCAGGGCCCCATGGGAAGACCTATGCCTTCAAGGGGAGCTACGTGTGGACTGTGACAGATTCAGGGCTGGGTCCCCTGTTCCAAGTGTCTGCTCTTTGGGAAGGGCTCCCAGGAAACCTGGATGCTGCTGTCTACTCTCCTCGAACACAATGGATTTACTTCTTTAAGGGTAAAGGGACTAGTTTATGTATCTTACCTGAGGATGTCCCACCATCAAAGAAGCCATAAAAAGGAGGGAGAGATGAGAAGTTTCTGAGAGGGCGAAAAGGAGGAACTAAAACTACTACCTGAGGACAGAGATGACTTGTTCTTACACGTTCTCAGGAGACAAGGTGTGGCGCTACGTTAATTTCAAGCTGTCTCCTGGCTTCCCCAAGAAGTTGAATAGGGTAGAACCCAACTTGGATGCAGCTCTCTATTGGCCAGTCAACCAAAAGGTGTTCCTCTTTAAGGTATATACTTCAAAGCAAGGGCAAATTCCTTCTCGGGATGGGTGAGCTACCCCACATGGAGAAGCTAAGACTTGCTCCTAAAGAGATTTGCAGCTGCAGTGGGCTGAGGGTGAATATATGGGGGTCCTTAAACTCTTTCCTCATCTTCCTCTTCTCCTTACCCATCCTACACCTAGGGCTCCGGGTACTGGCAGTGGGATGAGCTGGCCCGAAATGACTTCAGCCACTACCCCAAACCTATCAAGGGGCTGTTTACAGGAGTAACAGATCAACTCTCAGCTGCTATGAGTTGGCAGGATGGCCACGTCTACTTCTTCAAGGGCAAACAGTACTGGTACCTCAACCGGCAGCTTCGAGTAGAGAAGGGTTATCCCAGAGATACTGCCCACAACTGGATGCACTGTCGTCCCAAAATCCCAGATACTACCCCCTCCGGTGGAGACACCACTCCCTCAGCCACAGGCCCTGACCACTCAGTCACAGGAACAACCTTGGACACCACTTCCGCGATCATAGATACCACCTTGGATACCGACCACTCAAAGACACGATCTTAGATATGACCCCCTCAGCCACAGGCAACACCCTTTCATTCCCTGGTAATGTCACCCTCCCAGAGAACTAAGACCTCAACCTAATGTCTATTCACTGTACTGCAGGTGCTGCAGCAGGGGCATGGACCATAGACCTAAATGTCCCAGCTCTAGCCACCATTTTCCTGTGCTCTGGGTCAGCCCTCAACTCTATCCATTCTTCCCACCCCAGATAACACTTTCCAACTGTGTTATCTACTATCTGGAAGACAGTGATAGAGGGAAGGTGTCAATCAGGCCTGATAGGAGGCAACAGCTGGGAAGCAGAGTGCTTGGGTCCTTTTCTTTATGGATAAAATTCAAGAAAACAGCATGGCCAGTAAAATGACAAGGATTTTGGAATCCTTGAGAATCATATTTGTTGGTCTATGACTTGAGCAAGTTACTTAACCTCGTTGAGCTTCAGAGTCTCTATCTGTAAAATGATGCTAACACTGATCTTGCAGGGTTGTTGCATTAAATGAAATACTATATGTGAACAGCCTGACAGTATCTGGTACATTGTGTTTAATAAAGGCTAACTTCATGTTCATAAGAGGACTGAACAACTCTTCCTCTGGTTATGTAAGTATAGCTCCTACAGTAGCTCTGTCTTCTAAGGGAACCCTTATCTAATCTTTAGAGGACTTGTCAGTATGGCTCTTTGTTTTGGGGTGCAAAGAAACAAAGGAGCAGCAACAGTAGAGGCCAGACTCCCTGATTCAGTGTTTAATGCCACTTTATTCACATGTTCCCACGTGTTCCTCCCTCCCATCATAGCCTTGCTTCCCAAGGGAGGGATATATTTTTCTTCATGCTGTCTTGGGAATCAGGGAACTGACTTTGGGCAGGAGAATCATAGTGGGGAGAGTTAGAATGGATTAGTGGCTGGGACAAAGTTCTGGTTAATGAGAGGCAAAGAAGGCACTTGTCTCCCATACAGCCCCGAAGACCAGGCTCCTTTGGGCAAAAGGGCAACACTCTGGCATGTGGGCCAATGCTTCCTCCTTGGAGCAAGAAGCCAGCTTTTGGAGGAGGCAGGGGCTAAGCCAGGCACTGCCCCATGGTCTTCCCCACATCAAGAAGAGAAAGGAAGCACCATGGAGGACAATACCCCCAACTGAGGTAGGAGAAGGGGGCTTGAGCCTGTGGGGCCCAGCAAGAAAAGGATAATGAGGAACCCAACTACCCCTAATGAGTGGACTGGGGACTGGGGGATGCTGGAGCTCCTCTGTGCCCTTTTCCCCATCAAAAAAGCTATCAAGTGCTTCAGGAAGCTTCCTGCTTTTCTACAGTTCCTACAGAAACAGCCCCCCCCCCCCTTTACCATTGTGTGACACACTGAGGCAGGTATATAAAAGGCTATCTGGATAAGGCACCTCCTTAATTTGGAGGGAATTAGGGAGTCATTTACTTTCAGGACCAGGCCACCTCTATTATTGGACAGAGGTAGCTACTCATACTTCCATTACTCTCTTCTCCCCAAGATTCTTCTCTCTGTCTCTGAAACCTATTTCTACAGGGCTGGTCTAGGTTGGAGCATAGATTCCATTCCCAAGTCTACAAGGTGGGGGAAGTTTGTGTGTGGGTGCTGTGGGCTCAGACCCTATCCAACTAGTGTTCCCAGACACTTGCTAGGGGTATGGGGTGTCAGAGCAGGTTTAGGCTCAGGTCTGGGTGGAACTAGAAGGCGTGGTGAGGGGTACAGTGGAACCACAGTCAGAATCCAAGTCCAGGATGGTGTGGGGGGCTGGGGCCTGGTTGCCTGGCCCCAGTTGGCGCTCTCGAAGGCTCTGGAGATAACTCTGGAGGGACACAGGGCAGAGAGGACAGAAGGAAGAGCTTGGGTCAGTCCCTGTCCCACCCTGACCATGCCCATGTGCCCTCTGCCCCGTCCCCCAGAGTGTCCCCTCCCCCCCACTCACTGGAGCCAGACTGTCAGCAGGGCTCCTGGCATTGGGTGGGAGCTGGCGCCGATAGCTGCCCTCACAGAGCCCCACCCCAGGGGAGGTCCGATGCCACTTGGACTCTTGCTGACGGATCCGAAGGAGTTGGAGATGCCTTCGCTGGTGGCTCAAGACCACTGCTTGGGAGGGGGAAATGCAGACTGAGGAATCCTCTTTGGACCCCGAATCCCACCCCCAAACACACTCACACTCTAGAGAAATCCATTTGATCTCCTTGTTCTGGCTCTATCAAACCTCATCTTTGCCCCAGTTCTTCCAAAAGAAACCCCTCTTTGGAGGCTTCCTAATCTCTCTTCCTAAACTTTCCTCAGATCTTCCTTTTCTTCCATAACAGTCTCCAATAACTCTTTCCTGCTCTCCCTGACAATTTCTATTCCCATTCTTTACCCAGACTTTTGGCTCCTCCAACGCTAACTTCCTTTCAATGCCCTGTCCCATTCACCTTAGACACCTCTGCCCTCCTCTCAAGTGTATTTTCCCCCTTCCCCTCCTCAAGTCTGGGACTTGGGGACGTGAGAAGGCACAGGCTGGCTGCTTCTGTACCATGGCACTAACTTACCATTGGCGTGGGCTCCATGTTCCTCATCCATGAGCTTCCACTGGGCCAGGGCCCCAAGGGCCCCCAGGGCTGGCCAAGTTCCCAGCAAGACCCAGCTATACCAGCAGAGAGGAGGCAAGGCTGGAAGTGCCTGCAAGCGTTGGCCCAGCCGACTGCCCAGTGCTAGCCCTTCCAGGAAATAGTCAGCACAGGCCACCAGCACCGCAGCACCCAACAGAGCTGTGCCCAGAATGGTGAATGGACGTGGCCACCGAAGCGTGAGCAGGGCTCCCAGCAGTGCCAGCCCCACCAGCCCCCCAGCTGGCACCCAGGCTGAAGGTGGTTGGTAGATGGGTTCGGTGCCCAGCAGGGCCCCAGCACCCAGGGTTAGGCCTAGCAGGAGACCAGTCAGGAAGAGCCCAACACTGCGAACCAGCATGGTGACCAGGCCGCAGAGGAGTCCGATGCCCAGCGCAATGCCCGCGCTCACCTCCAGGCTCAGCTGTGTCTCTAGCACTCGCTCCTTGTGGCATAGCAGAAAGATCACCAGAGCTCCTGATAGCAGGCCCGAGAGAAACATCACTGCTTTGAAGCAGCGGTAGCCTGGGAAGGGAGGCAGGAGGCACTGAGAGGCAGAAAGGGAAGGGGGAGTCCACAGGGATGGCTCTGAGGATAAGCAGAAGAGCAGAAGACAGGAGCAACACACCCAGTACCTCAAGGCAAGAGGCAGAAAGGGATAATTTCAGGGAGGGCAAAGACTTTTCAGGAGCTGTGAGGGGACAGGAGGGAAAAGTCAGGAGGTAAGATGGATGCATTGAGGGGAGTAAGTATAGAAAGCAGGTCTAGTCCTTCCAGGGATGGTAGATGGGAATAAATCAGCATAAGCTGATTCAGGTTATTGGGGAAGGGTGAAGAAGCTTTAAGCATGGAGGATAATTTGGGAATGGAGTTTTGAAGAAGGCAAGAGGAAGGCAAGTGAGAGTGCATGGGCAGGGTTGTGGGGATAAAGAAGAAGAGCTGGCAGGAGCAGCATGGACCACACTGAAAGTAGGTATTCCCGACAGAGGAGTAGAGGTAGACCAGGAGCAAAGGAGAAAGTTAACATCATCCTTGAAGGGTGACAGTCTTGGGCAGCTGCCCCCCAGAACCCTGGCTCTGCCCTCACCGAAGCAGCAGTAGATGATTCCAAAGCAGCAGCAAAGAGCACACACCAGGGCAGGTGCCAGTTCAGGATTGTCCTGAGGTTCCAAGACACATCTTGGGTCTGGAGGCTCTGGGAGTTGTTGATTAAAGGGCCTGGAGTCAGAGGTCATGGCCAGGGGCAACAAAGCTTCCTCCATGGCAGGAAGAAAAGGTGGTCACAGAGGAGGAGGTCAGCTTCAGCTCCTCTCATCCATCCATGAATATCTTGAGGGGTTTGGGAAACCTGCAAGGGGGTAGGGGGCAGGAACTCAGGTGCCCATGAATCTTGAGGACTTTGTACCTCTATTTCATTTGAAGAAAGGACAGTTTCAGGAAGGAGCATGGCCCTGCTGGGGTAACTGAATAAATATATGGGGTTGGTTAATGGGGAGACAGCTGTCTCTTGACTACCCTCTGCAACAAGGACAATAACGAAAACTTAAATGAAAATCTTATGAGGTAATGAACTTTCTTTTGCCTGCAAACTTTTCAGGGTTGGGTAGGAGGAGGAGGAAGTCCTAAGATCTGTGGAGGGAGGGGTCCAGGGGCACTAATGGGACTGGGGGCTAAAGGCCCAGCAGCTTGTTCCAGCTGAAAAGAAATCTTGCCCCATCTGCAGCTGGGATTCAATATTACCACACTGGACTAGGAAGGGTGGGGTTAATAACGCGGGGAAGGAGAAAGAGGAGGGAATGAATCATGGTGGGGTCTCCCAACAGCTGCTCCTAACCCAGGGAAGAGGGGGTAAACAGGCACCAAAAGAGTTTGGGACAAGACATAAAGTAGAGACAGTCATTCACATTTGTCAGGGTTTTGAAACCTCTGCTTCAAATGGAGGAGATGAAGTTGTTGGAGGAAGGGGTATCCAGCCACAGTTCAACTCCAAGACCCATCTGGGAATAAGCAGGCACCTTGCCCACAGATATCTCACATCCTGGTAGCTTCTTGCACCTCCCCTCAGCACACTGGGACTTTTCCTACCCCTCCCTTTCCCCAGAGGTGTCAGGGCTGCCAGTGGGATTTGAATTCAGTTCCTGAGAGAACATCAAGGAGGAGCTGGCATTGGGGACGCTGTGGGAGTGGGGTAGGGTGTATGCAGGCACATTCCTTCAGCTGTTTTCTTTTGGACATCAAGGTCCTAACAGGCTGTAGGGTTGGCTTGGAGAATCCCTGGGACTCCTTTCCTCAATTCTCTGGAAAGCCTAAGGACCCTAAACAAGGAGAGGTTGGGGAGGGGGTGTTAACTACTCACCACCCTGCCAGGACTGAGGAGAGGAAGAGGGTAGAAGTGCTTCCCTAGACCCCCAGCTGCATCCCTGCCCGGAGGTCCTAGGTGTCCGGGCGGCTGTCGGGCGTGGGCACCCCCAGGGCTCCTCAGTTCGTTGCCCCCTAAACTCTTGCAAGTCGTAGCCCAAGCCCGAGAGCTAAATGCAACCAGCCTGGGGGGGGCGGGGGGCGGGTGGAGGAAGGGGACAGGGTGTGTGTGTGTGGGGGGTGACATCACGGGGCGGGCCCCTCCAACACTTTCCCTTGTGTGTGGGGGACTCAGTTTGCCTTCTGCTCGAGACTGGGACCAGAGACATCCCCCAACCATAGCAGGGAAGGGCCCTGGATGCACAAGAGGTTTGGGGAAAGTTCTCTGAATGCTTAGGCGATGACTCGACACTTGGAAGCTCTCAAAGCCCCAACTGGGGTCTCACCGCCCCCCTAGCTTTGGCTTGGTTTCTTCCACTTCCCAGAGAATTGGAGTATTGTCTTCTGGAGAACCTGGTGGTCGGGATTGGGGATTCGGGGAAGGGGCTCTTGCTGCTCTGGGGGCGCTGGCGAGGGTTTCATGGGTGGACAAACTTGCGGAGTAAGACGGAGTCTGGAAGGGGGACTAACGAGAGAGGCGTGTGCAGAGGAAGGGACCGACAGAGAGGGGACCCGAGCCGGGTCTGCGTGTGAGAGGGGTCGTTTGTCGTTGTCGACAGAACAGCTCGGTATGCAAATGAGATGTAAAGCAGCATGCAGATGAGTGCAATGTTTTTAGGCACTCCGTTCAGGTTCTGAGCCCAGCGGAGCTACGCTCCCAGTCTCCGGTCCCCCTCCGTGTCGGGGCCTGGGAGCTGCTTCCAGAGGGGCGGACCCAGGCCGTGGGAGCTGCAGTTATACGCGGCAGTTCGCCAGTTGGGTCAGAAGCTGGGGAGGCTCAGGGTTGCTAGGAAAGAAGGGGCAGCGCTAGGGGGACCAGGGCGGGGGCTGGCCCGGGGTGTCCTCTCCTCGATCTAAGGAGAGGACGTGATACCAAAGCGCCTCTGTCCTCGCTACAGTTCCCGGGGAAGGGATCAGGGTGGCGGCCCCTCTACGCTCCCTAGTTTTGTCTGCGAAGGAAACAGACTGTAGCTCGGTGGCTTTCCTCTATCTCCCAATCTCGGCAAAGCTCAAGGATCCAGCCAGAGGAACCCTGAGAATCTGCCCCCAGATCGCAGGCACTATTGCAGCATCCACTTGTTTCACTTTCAGCGGTGCAACTTGCAGGGATTCCACTCGAGCACGCGGAGGGCTGCAGCAGAGGGCCCTTTAAGGGGCGGTGCCAGTACTTCCCCAGGACCGCCGCCTCCGATTTGACTCTGCGCGTGCTAGACTGACTCACGCCTCCGCCTACCGCTTTTTCTTTTCCTTCCTGTCTCTTCCCTGGTGACCCCGGATGTGGAAATAGGCGTAAATCGGCGTCTGCGGCGGAGACGGAAGGCGGAAGCAGAGCTTGAGCGGGAGGCGGAGCCGGGGGAGCTCATCTCTCAGCTCCCCTGGCTCTGGGCCCAGCAGCCGGAGGGGGAGGAGTTACCTCCGCTCCTCCGTACGTTACCTTTGCCCGGTCTACCCAGCTCTAGGTTTCCCGGGTTGTCTGTCTTAGGGGCCACCTAAGCTCCACCCTCAGGTCTTCTTTATTTCTTTTTAAAAATTTATTTTTGTTACAGATGTGTTTTTATTAATTTTTGTTACAGATGTTTCTTCTCCCTCCCATTGACACCCTTCCCCCCCGCTCCCGCCCCCCCTTCTCAGTATTGTTGTCTATGTCCATTGGTTTTGTATATATAGTCTTTGGTATATCGTTGCCCCTCCCCGCGCCCTCAGGTTTTCTTTAAGGGCCTTACGGTCCTCACCCTGTTCAGGCAGCCTACGGCCCTCCTTTCTGGTCGTCTTTCCCAAGAGTAGCCCCAGGACCACACCCTTCCTCTTTCCAGGATTCAGAACTGTATCTTTCTGAAGAGAGAAGAAAAAATTAAGTGGAGTTGGAGGAGGGGGCAGGGGGTAGTGTGGTTAATGTAGTATTGGTTTATTGCTATGGTTAATTAATTATGCATCATATATATCCCCAATTTAAGGTTATTTAACCCCTTTCTTGGTCCTATTCTTGATTATCCCCACCTTGATACTTTTGTTACAGGCATCAGAACTTACCATGATGGCTGTGACCTAAAATCTCCAGGAAGCCCCTGGGTCATGGCCCAGAAGCACCCCAGAGAAAGAGGGTTGTATAGAGCCCACCACAGTGGTGGTGCCTCCCTGGAGACTTTAGAACCCTCTGTAGACCCTGAAATACTTTCATTCTCTGGACTCAGGGACTCAGTGAGGCCTGCTCCTAATGGTACCAGCTGCCTCACAAAGCACTCTAGCCCTAAGTACACACAGCCCCCAAACCCAGCCCACTGGTCAGATCCAAGCCATGCCCCGCCAAGGGGTCCAGGACCCCCTAGAGATGGAGAAGACCCTGATCAGAGTGAGACATTTTTGGAAGAAGAGTCAGAAGTGGACCAGGAACTCTCAAAAGATGGGAACCCTTCTTTTCTTTCCATTCCATCTGCTTCCAACTGCCAGGGAACCCTTGGAATCCCTGAAGGGCCTTACTCTGGGGGAGGAGATAGCTCTTCTAGCAACTTTTGCCACCATTGTACCTCTCCAGCTTTAGGGGAACATGAAGAATTGGAAGAGGAATATGATGATGAGGAACTCAAGTTTCCCAGTGATTTTTCACGTGTGCCCAGTGGAAAGAAACCTCCACCCCGGAGACAGCGGCACCGTGTTCCAGCCAAGGAGGATACTTGGGAGGGTGGACGCAGAGATCCCAGGTCCCCTGGTCGACAGCGGCTGGGCCGGAAACGAAGTCAGCCAGATAAGCGCAGAGGCCTGGGATTATGGGGAGCAGAAGAACTGTGTCAGCTTGGACAAGCAGGCTTCTGGTGGCTGATTGAACTGCTGGTATTGGTGGGAGAGTATGTGGAAACTTGTGGCCATCTCATCTATGCATGCAGACAGCTGAAAGGCAGTGATTTGGACCTTTTTCGAGTCTGGGCAGGATTCTGGGCTGAACGGCTGAGTGGCTGGGCCCAGGTGATGTTCCAATTTCTGAGCCAGGGATTTTGCTATGGGGCAGGGCTATTCACCCGTTTTCTTAGGCTACTGGGTGCTTTGCTGCTTCTGGCTCTGGCCCTCTTGTTGGGCTGTCTGCAGTTGGGCTGGCGGTTTCTTGTGGGACTGGGTGACCGGTTAGGCTGGAGAGGTAAAGCCACCTGGCTCTTCTCTTGGCTGGATTCTCCCACTTTGCATCGTTGTCTGATTCTGCTGGGAGATAGCAGGCCATGGCAGCAGCTGGTAAGAATGGTTCAATGGGGTTGGCCGGAGTTGCCTTGGGTCAAACAGAGGACTAACAGGCAGGGGAATGCACCTGTAGCTAGTGGTCGCTACTGCCAGCCTGAAGAGGAAGTGACTCGACTCTTGACCATGGCTGGGGTTCCTGAAGATGAGTTAAACCCTTTCCATGTGTTGGGGGTTGAAGCCACAGCATCAGATGTTGAACTGAAGAAGGCCTATAGGCAGTTGGCAGTGATGGTGAGTATCCTTCTCCTCTGTTTCCTGAACCTCTTTTGTTCCCATATTTCATTTTCTAATTTTAGGGATAGTAAAATAAAGGGAAGGCAGAGAAAAAAGTCAACTTTAAGCTAAAGAGTAACTTTAATTCTTAGAAAAGAGTCATAATTACTTTTTCCACATCTACTATGGGATCCGACATTCCTTTCATTTTTAAGTTTTTTTTTTGGTCATGAGATTCCTTTTCTTAATGAAAAAAATGAACCTGATATATCAGGCAGTGTTGGACTCACTCATCGTGAAATATCAAAATGAAGTCCCTCTGACTAGGGTGGAGAAGAGGGCTAGGCAGAAAGCTTGTCAGTTCCTCTCCCTGAACAAATGAGGGTTTTGTTTTTTTTTAACACAGGGAAATCCAGCAATCTGTCCCAGAAAGGCAAGTGTGGACCTAGTATGGGATGGTTCAGGGAGTGCATGTGAGTGATTATTCTAGGACTAGGTCAAAGAAAACAAGCTATTTCAAGACCAGCAACCCAGAGTGGGAAAGGGAAGGAAAATGGAATATAAATCATAAAGAGACATATGCAAATGTATGTTATACATGAAAATATGGTTGCTTTTGTTGATAAAAGGGTAGTTACGGGTGGGAGTTGTGATGCACCACATGCTTTAGGGAAACTTTAATACAAGCATTCAATCAAATTGCTATTAGAAGTTGATATTAGGTTGCTATTTTTTTTTTAATCCTCACCTGAGGATATTTTTCCATTCTTGTTCAGATAGAGTGGGAGGGAGGGAGAGAGAGAGAAACATCGATGTGAGAGGGACACATCGGCTGGTTGCTGGGGATGAACCACAACCGAGGTACATGTCCTTGACCAGAATCAAACTTGCAATGTGGGCTGATGCTCTAACCACTGGCCAGGGCTTAGATTGCTATTTTTAGATATGATTGTTATTGCTATTTCTGTATAAGTGAAACTATATTATGAATATAAATAATATGTGTAAATTGCACAGGAGGTCTGTTTGACAATGTATGGAACTGGACTGGCAAAATATCAGTGTTGCAGATTACCTTGAGTTGCATGACACCAGAGGGATGGGCAACCATGGTTTCCATTAACCATTCAACACACAATCGAGTACCAGAAGTACCAGATCTGTAACTTACCAGAGTACTAAATTAGTTTGGTGGGAAATGCATGCCCCCTTAGTGGCTAGCCTGGGATATTCTTAGAGTGGGGGAACAACTAAATTGTTACTAATAGTAGAGCTTTTTTCTCACCTTTACACATCTTTTAGCAGATATCTCTTGGGGAATATCATTCTTCCAAAAAAATTTATTTTCAACTTACTTTCTTGGAGTGGAGATGATGTTAAGTTCTCCAATTCTCAATACACCTGCTCCACACCCTTAAGTTCCTCCTTGTTCTGAGTCAGAGTATCTGTGGGCTTCCCCCTCCCCCCAATTTATCTTCAGAGAGAGTGGGAGGGAGGGAGGGAAAAACATTGAAACATCAATGTGAGAGACACACATCTATTGGTTGCCTCCTGCACAACCCGACCAGGGCTGGGAACCAAACTGCAAGTGAGGTACATGCCCTTTACTGGAATTGAACCCGCTACTCTTTGGTCCGTGGTCCAACGCTTGATAACCACTGAGCTACACCGGACAGGGCTGTGGGCTTTTTTTTTTTTTAAGCATCTTTTTAAAAAATTGATTTTAGAAAGAGGGAGAGGGAGAGAGAGAAACACCAGTGAGAGAGAACATCGACTGGGGATTTGACCCATAATCTGGGCATGTGCCCTGACCAGGAATCAAAACGGTGACCTCTTGGTGCATGGGTCAAAGCTCATCCACTGAGCCACACCCACCAGGCAATGTGGGCTTCTTTTATAGAACCTCTCACTGCCATTATTAGACCCCAGAGTGACCAAGACCACAAGGTTGTTCTATAAGTTTGGGACTATGGGAGATTTGACAGCGTTCTGCTTATTTGACATCAGTCAAGAGACTAGCTTTATCTCTGTATTTTGGGGGAATTAGAGTGGGAACAATAAGAAAATTGTAGGAAGAGAGGACATTGTCTTGGAGAAAAGGCTGAAAAGTGGATAACAAGTCTGTGAAATAAAATTGCTATTTATTTCTGGGACAGAAAAGCAAACTATTGTAGGAAGATTTGAGTAGATATGAGAATTTTTTAGTTAGAAAAGTGTTTGAGGATGTAATATATTTGAAACTCTTACTTTGTAACTGATAATAAAGTTAAAATGTGAGGGCTTAGTATACATGTGTTAGGTCAGGTGACCAACCCATCCATCCCTATTTGCCAGATATCGAGGGATTTCCTAAGACATGAACTTCACTACTAAAACTGAGACAATCCCAGGTGCACAGGGATGCCGGATCACCCTAGTACAGATTCTGTGCTATATACTTCACATATTTTCTCATTTAATACTCCCAACACCCATGATAGACAAAATATTCTAGGTCATGTAGCTAATAGGGACATCTGGAACTTGAACAGAGATTCTCTATAGAGCCAGAGCAATTAATTATTAAGCTGTTGACTCTCCAAAAGAGTAGTGAAAGAGAACCATTTCACATGAGGTTTTTTTTTTTTTGTTTTTTTTTTTAATAGTTTATTGATTTTTTAGAGAGAGAGAAACATCAATGTGAGAGCATAACATCAATCAACTGCCTCCTGCACATCCCCACTGGGGATCAAGCCTGCAACTTGGGCATGTGCCTTTGAAGGGGAATTGAATCAGCAATCTTGGTACATGGGATGACACCCGACCAACTGAAGCCCCACTGGCCAGGGCTACCATTTGACATGAGGTTTTGACCCAAATAAGGAGAGTATCGGAGTGGATGTGATGAAATCTTTGTCTCGGTAGGTTCATCCTGATAAAAATCATCATCCCCGGGCTGAGGAGGCCTTCAAGGTTTTACGGGCAGCTTGGGACATTGTCAGCAATCCTGAAAGGCGGAAAGAATATGAGATGTAAGTTGGAGATGGGAAATTATCAGGTAGGGTAAATGGATAATCTTCAGTAGCAGAGGTCCCTGGAGTTGTGGGTGGAGGCCCTCTGAGGTGGAGAGAATCAAGGTTGCTTGTCTTTCTAGTAAGCCACAGGCCTTAAGAGGCCAATAGATCTGTCTCCTTTGTTCCTTGCTCAATACCCTCTGATTTACAAAGCTTTTCTTCTCTTAGGAAACGAATGGCAGAGAATGAGCTGAGCCGGTCAGTGAATGAGTTTCTGTCCAAGCTGCAGGATGACCTCAAAGAAGCAATGAATACTATGATGTGCAGCCGATGCCAGGGAAAGCATAGGTATGAAATAGGAATAGAACAGCCACAACTTAGGGATTGGGTAGCCAAAGACCTTCTTTGTGAGTATTGTTGGTAGTTGTGGGATACAGATGGCGAGTAGAAGAATCCTTATGTTTCTACTTCTGCTATATTGTCAAGAGATTGGGGATTTGAGTTAGTAAGAAAAAAAAGTATTTTTTAGTTTTAAAATAGAAGATTGAGAGGATGTGCATAGGCATATTTAACAACTTAGGGGAGATAATTTTTAATTTTAGATCTTTCGGCCACATTTGTCAGAAATGATGAGACTACAGCAATGCCAGTCTTGACATTATTAAGGAATTTTCCTTCTGTTGGGTTGCAGGAGGTTTGAGATGGACCGGGAACCTAAGAGTGCCAGATACTGTGCTGAGTGTAATAGGCTGCATCCTGCTGAAGAAGGAGACTTTTGGGCAGAGTCAAGCATGTTGGGCCTCAAGATCACCTACTTTGCACTGATGGATGGAAAGGTGTATGACATCACAGGTACACTTCTGTTCTTTATAAATATGGGTTCTTATACGCTTAAAACTGTGATGTATTGGCTAATCATTTCTCATGTGTGCAGAGTGGGCTGGATGTCAGCGTGTGGGAATCTCCCCAGATACTCACAGAGTCCCCTATCACATCTCATTTGGTTCTCGGATCCCAGGCACCAGTGGACGACAGAGGTAGGTGGTATTTCTTTCAATAATCTGAATATGGTTTCAGATGACATGGTTTTTAGGATACCTAGATGTCTCACCCTTTAAGAAGTTTGGTTGCCTGGTCAGCGTGGCTCAGTGGTTGAGCGTCAACCAATGCACCAACAGGTCGCCAGTTCGATTTCCGGTCAGGGCACATGCCCAGGTTGTGGGCCAAATCCCCAGAGGGGGGCATGCAGGAGGCAGCCAATTGATGTTTTTATCTCTCTCTCTCTCTAAAATCAATAAAGAAAAAAAAATTTTTTTTTAAAAGTTTGGTAACTGCCAGGGTGGAGGTATGGCTCAGTAGTTGAGCATCGACCCATGTACCAAGAGGTCACTGGTTCAATTCCTGGTCAGGGCACATGCCTGGGTTGCAGGCTTGATCCCCAGTAGCAGGGCATGCAGGAGGCAGCTGATCCATGTTGATATTTTTCTCTTCCTCTCCCTTCCTCTCTCTAAAATCAATAAAAACATATTTTTAAAAAAAATTTGTAACTGACCCAATATATCTTAAACTTAGGTATTAATAGGCAACACAGGTACCATTTGACCCTTAATCTCTTTTGCCTCATTCTTCTTCTGTTTTCCTCTCAGAGCCACCCCAGATGCCCCTCCTGCTGACCTTCAGGATTTCTTGAGCCGGATCTTTCAAGTACCCCCAGGACAGATGTCCAATGGGAACTTCTTTGCAGCTCCTCATCCTGGCCCTGGGGCCACGGCAGCTTCCAAGCCCAACAGCACAGTACCGAAGGGAGAAGCCAAACCGAAGAGGCGGAAGAAAGTGAGGAGGCCCTTCCAACGTTGACACTTGTTTTCTTCTTTCCTCAAATCAATGTCAGGGAGTCAAAAGGGCTGTGTACAGCACAGGATGGAGTTTGATTTGTTTATTTTTAAGTATTTAAAAAAGGGAAAGGTTTAAGCTCAAATTGTTCACTCAGTACTTGTAGGAAGCCCCAGAACCACTCTCCCTCTTCCACCAGCACCCAGGAACTGAATCTTGTCTTTTGACAATACCAAAGAAATAGGGGGTGGCTAGAGCAAAGAATCTAGGGCATGGACCTGGGCTGGACAATATCTCCCACAGTAGTGTGGGAGTTGGGTATTTCCCTGGGGTCTGTATGCCTTTGTCTTGTACTTTGCTTCTATAGCAGATGACACTTTACTCCCTCTTTTTAAACTACAAGTCTATCTTATCTCTTGACCCATTTCAGGAGGGAGCCCCCTTCCTTTAGCCCAATATACTAGTTAAAAGACAGAACAAGAAAGCATGTAGCCCTAATTATAGGAGATACATAGAGTTCAGAGAGTGGGAACTCTGAATTTTTCCTCTGACTTTCACCTTGTGGGTAACTGCCCAACTTCATGCTTGTTGCTGCAGGGATGGCCAAAACTAATGATTTAAAAAAATCAGACTCATGCCCTCTGCCCTTGTGTGAGGGGGAAGGATAAATGGGGCTCCTGGCAGCCCCCTTACGATCCGAGGGTTTGTATTTTTTTAAGTTTATTCATATTTGTATGTATATAACTATTTAAAGCCAGGGGATTATCTTTCTATAAATATATAACTGGCAACCTGTTTCTTCCCTCTTCTTTGCCCTTACAGCCGGTGTCCTTTTTCTCATTTGAGAATCCTTTCTCTGTGTTAGCTGAGAGTGAAGGGCACCTCCTATTGAACTGAGAGAGGGGATAAAAAATACCTTAGAGAAGTCTGTGCAGTAAGTCACTGTTCCATCTTTCTTCCCCAGCATTATGAGGACATCTCCCTACCCTCCCTGCTGACCAAATAGTAGCCATATCTGAAAAAATTCACCTTTATTATAAGGAAAATACACAGCAAAACAGAACTGGAAGGTGGTGGGGGTGGAATACTTGGAAAAACCAAACAAGCTGCCCAAACATGGCCTCCTCCTGTGGAGGAGAGTGATTTGTTCCTTACCTCATCTGCCTTTCCTAGTTCAAAGAAGCCTGCTCCTAGCAGGGCTAGGCCCAGGGAGCCGCATTTTCCAATCTGTTCCAGGGAGTTGGGAACAGTTGTATAGTTCTCAGGCTTTCAAGATAAAGAAGACAGTTTGGAGAAGGGAAAGATGTTACAGCCTTTTGTTCCAATGTTGTCCTCAGTCCCATTCCTCAGTATTTATTGATGCCAAAGAGACGAACCCCATGGAATTGGGGCAACTTAGGCAGCAGTACACTGAGCAATGAGGCTGTGTTGATGAGGAAGTGAGCAGCATCATACTTGGTGTAGAAGCTGGCTAGGAGGTAGCTGGGGAGAAAAGAAATAGGTTGAATGAAGTTGGCTTTCCATATCCATAGTCATGCCTCTCCAGTGTCTTTCTCTTCTATTTAAAATGAATAGTTTTATTGCATGTAGTCCTAGGATATCTGAAAATGTCCAAGGGTTGGAGAGATAATCAGCACCTTTAACTGGAGATTTGTAAGTTGGTTTGTGTGTTTTTTTTTGTTAATGACATAATGGCAAATGATAGCTGAAGCATTTTCAGCCTGTATCACTGTTAAGTCCTCTTTGCTTCCACTCCCCACAGTCAGTTTTCACAGATTTACATCAGTTCTGCTTTGATTTATTCACATCTTTTGGAAGTGTAAAATACTTAGTTTTTTCACTCCCTTCTCCATTCTTCTACCACCAAGGAGGCAGCAAGGAATGCTTGATTACTGCCTTCTATTTTTTTAATGCTCTTCCTAAATTTTGACTTAGTATGCCATAATATCTTCAAAGGGTCTATCTAAGTGATTAGTATGCTTTTTTTTTTTTTTTTTAAAGCTTCCCGGGGGTCTTTGTACCTGGCTCTTGGAGTATTTCCCATATCTCCCCCTGGACTCACAGTACAATAGGAGAGATGCTGAGGAATTTGCGGGAAGAGGTAAATTGGAGTCCGTAGTCCATCTGTTCCCAGTGTGTCAGTAGCCGAGCCTTTCCTTGGTCAGGGGTCTCAAAGGGTGTCCCTTTCACCGTATGTAGGAAGACATACATAGCCTGGGAGGAAAGAAGGAGCAGTTTGAAGGGGCACAATGTAGTCCTTTAGCCCAAGAATTAAGATCCCAAAAGGAAGATATATACCCCCAAATAATTGCGGATTTTATTTTGTTTTTGTTTAGGAAGCCCTGGGGTGGGTAGTATAAGGGTGTGGTTTAGTGCTCACCAAGTTGTGGATGACGTTGGTCAGGGTCCAGACAACAGGAATGCTGAAGAAGGGGATGCTGAGCAGAACCACATGCAGCAGTCCTACCAAGATGATGTAGGCCAGCCAGATGCCCCGGCTATTCATCACTCGAGTGTTGGGATTTACTTCACTGTGTGCCACCCCCACATTCATCCTACCACAATGGGGGATCAGGCAGGAGTCCACCTCAATTTCCTCTTAACCCCTCTTTGACTCCCCCTCCCCATTGCCTCTTGAATAGCTCAAATCCCCTGAGCTGTGTTAGGAATTAAAGAACATCCCCATCACGCACAAAGGAAAAACGACTTGGCGGGCTGGGGGACTTAAAAGGCAAATAGAGTCCTCTCTACATCTTAGAGACATATGGCAATCGTATGCTCTGATTCTTACACTTAAAAGCTGTCACTTGAAGAAGTAAGTCTAGGCTTGGGCACCTGCTTCAAGTAGCAAAGGAAACTGAAATATCTCACTTTATTTTCCTGAAGAAGTTAATAAGGAAGCATGAAGAGGTTCACGGGAAACAATTCACTAAGGAGGGGTGGAGGATAAAGCTACTTCCAATCCCCACCTCGACTCGGGCTTGCCAGTCCTGTCTCTCATCCCCTTGGCATGTAAGCAGCCAGCATCCCACTTCCTTTTCTCAAGCGTGAGGCGTTGGAGGAGTTTACCCAGGGTTTTGGGTTGGGCTTGGAAGGGACCCGAGTTGAGAGCCTCCAGATTGAGCCCTAGCCCCGTCCAGGGGCGGCTCAGATCGTCTGAAGTCGGCTCCTTAAAATCGTGCTAGTCTGAAGTCGATGCCTAATTTGGAAGCAGCTCTTGCCCGCCGCTCTCTACCTAAACCTTAATACTGAACCGGCCCCATGCTCCTCCCAGCTTCCCTCTCTCGTACATCGGCTCTCCTCAGCGCTCCTCTCTTGGTATTTAACTCGCCGCCAGTCCACCCCCGCTTCTCCCCGTTCGCCTCCCACCATTTTTCCTAAGCACCCCTTTCCCGTCTCGGAAACCCCTACCTGCAAGCTTCAGGAGCTAGTCCGCTAGGGGCACAGCGCTCGCTTCTACACCTGTGGTCTCCAGGAAGCAGCCGCCCTCGCTCATCTGAAGTCTCCCTACTGGTGGAACAGAATCAGCGCTGCCGCCACCCACTGGCTGGCAGTCTGCAATGGAGACGCACAATTGGTCGCCGTTTCCGTCGTTCGGAAGGCGCAGAACCCGCTCCTCTCCCTGCCCCACCTTCTGAGAGAGGTGGGGAAAGCTGCCTAGAGGAGTGAGAGGGACGGCAGCTATAGACTAATAGGAAGAGTTGATGATATGAGGTGGTAGCAAGAGTGGCAGTGATTGGTTGGCTCTGGTTGTCGGCGCCTAGGCGGGAGCTCCTGGAAGCCGAGGCGGCGGGTGGGGGCCTAGTGGTGTGGAGGGGTAACAAGATGGCGGCGGAGACGGTGGAGCTCCACAAACTGAAGGTACCATGAAGGGCGGAAAGGGCTGATTTGGACTTTTTCTGGGGACTGAATTCTGCCGCGTGGCTTGTGCCCTTTCCTACGTGTTCTCTTGTAGGCTTCTCCACTTTTTACTGGCTCCCTCCGTAGTTCTTTTTTGTGCCTTCCTTCGTCCACATTACGCCTGTCCTAATTTCCCATGCTCCTCACGGTTTTATTGCATTTGTACTTGTTATTTCGTCTCCCTTCTTCATCGTTGTGTTGTCTGTCACTTCTCCACGGGGTTGTGTAAGTGCTTTCAACCTGTTCTCTCCTTATTTCTTATCAGAACTGCATTACGTCAATGGTCCCCTCCTTTCTGCCCCATGCCGCCTCCAGCACCCCTTTTTCTTCCCTGGGTTGATGCTTTCGTATCTATTGTCCCAAGCTAAGATTCCTGTTAACTAATGATGGCATCTTTGTGTATTTTCATCTTTATAGGTCTCAAACATGATCCAGAAAAATACTTAAACTCTTTTTATAAAGATGGGATTACACCCCCAGGGGGAGCGGGGACTTTGAAACTTGAGGAGGGGCCTCAATATAGGCTTCCCCATAGAAACCTGGGGTTTAGGAGACCTTTAGAGTTAGTAAAGGCACAGATAGCTCGCATTTAAGTTTTTCTAGTTCTCTCACACGGGTTGTACCTGCCCCCCCCCCCCCCCCATAGACAACTCACTTGTAGCTGTAATATTTTGGAAAAACATTTCCAAGCTTAGGGTTATCTCTGTCCCATTTCATATCACGGATGGACCCTGCATCTCTTGGTATCACCACTGGGTGACACTCTTGGTAACCTGTTTTAAGTTGTGTCTTGAGAATGAATATTGGTAGCTTGCTCACATTCAGATTATTGTTTTCCTGGAAGAAAAGAGTGGTTTCTTTTAGGCTGAATTATGAGAATATCTTGATGAGTTGACTATTTGTGCTTTCACAAGTAGTTTTCCCATTAAATGTTTTGGTCACATCATCCTGGGAACCTTGGACAAACCAAGCCGACTTAGCTGAAGCTGAAAACTAACCCTTTAAAGCATATTGAGCTTAAAAACAAACAAGCAAAAACACTAATGAGGGTAAGATTAGGGAGAGGTCCTTTTAGTCACTTTTTAGTTGACATCGATTAGCTTTTTTGTGAAAGCTGATAGATTGGTTATTCTTGGGTTCTAAACTGTACTAGTGGATTTTTGTGTTAGTCTGGAGTTGCTATTAACTTGGTGGTACTGAAATGTATAGGTTATATCTGTGGTCTCCTATTACCACAAGTAAAAAGTTGAGCAACCACTTCTATTATATGTATACTTATGTAAATTATGTTACCGTACTGTTATATATGTTATAAAATATACAAAGAAGAGGAATTTTTGAATGAATGAGATAAAAAGGAAATATGAATAGAACAAATATTTTCTTCCTATTAGTCCCATTTTTGAAACCCCTGGAGGAACGCACCAGAGTTGTGACTTGCCTTTATGGATTTTGTGTTGGTTTATGGAGTTCCATAAAAGCTGGAGTTCCTTCCATAAAAGCTGTATTTGTTTGGACTGCATTAATTTTATTTTGATTGGATAATGTCCTCTCACCTGATTTCAGGTATTATAGTCTAAGAGAACATGAGGCACCCCTGGCAGCCTAAAAAGTAAAAAGGATTCACTCTTTTAATCACATTTGCTTGTCTTTGCTTTTTCTCTAGAGCACTTCTTAACCTTTTGGAGGTCACAGATATCTTTGAAACTCTGATGAAAGGTATGGACCCTCTCCCCAGAAAAAGGCATGTACACACACTTTGCATGCGATTTGAGGGGCCTCATAAAATTACCTTGTAGCCCTGAGGAGTCCATGGACCTCTGGTTAAGAACCCATGCCTTTAATTATGATTTCCAGGAGAGTTAATATTTGGTTCCACTGTTCATCTTGATGGAGTAACCCTAACTTGGATTAACTTAGGGTTTTATCTCTATTTTTAAAGTCTTTCCATATTTATTTATTTGTTTGTTTTAAATCCTCACCCAAGGATATTTTTCCATTGATTTTCAGAAAGTGTGGTAGAGAGGAGAGAGAGACACACATTGATTGGTTGCCTTCCGCATTTACCCCGACCAGGGTGGAGAATCAAACCTCCTACCCAGGTATGTGCCCTTGATCGGGAATCAAACTTCGGAACCATGCTGGCCAGGGCACAGTCTTTCCATTTTTATAAAGAAATTTTGGGCTTTTAGAATGGTATCTCAGAGGAAAAGAACAAGCTTTAAAGTAGGAAGGAAAACTATCTGAATTGATAGGTAAGTCCACATCAACTGCAGATTTCTCAAGATTTTGTAGAACTGCCATCATTCTAACAAGTTATAGAGACTGAATTGTGGGTTAAAATTCTTTAAACTGTAATTGTACCAGATATCCAATCAATGGTGAGAAAAGGGACTACTACAGAGGAGAGAATGAGAAAAATCTACAAATGTACAAGTGTTGAAAAAGAGTGAGACATGTAATTTTGAATCATAAAGTGCATATATGTTGGTGGTTGGAGATTGTTTGTAAAGGTGACTAGGTGAATTGTGTGACTATAAAGGTAGATTGGAGTGATATTGAAAAGGACCTTTTAAGTTGTGTATGGCATTTGGTTTTTGTTAGGTAGGCAGAAAATGGGGAGCCTTTGGAAAATTGAAAGAAGGAGCTGATGTGATCCACATGTGTTCTTTTGGCAGTATGGAGAATGGGATCTGGAGAGGGAGAGATTTCACCAGTTACATTTCTTTATAATGTTATACACTCCCCAGCTTAAAGCCTTTTTTTTTAACTTTATACCTATCAAACTGTCTAGCTTAGTTTCTCACACTCCAACTACCGTGGTTTTATTTATTTTATTTTTCTTCATTGGTTTTAGAGAGAGAGGAAGGGAAAGGGAGAGAGAGATAGAAACATCCATGAGGAAGAACATTTATTGGCTGCCTCCTGCATGTCCTCCTCTGGGGATTTGGTCCACAATCTAGGCATGTGCCCTGACCGGGAATCAAACCTGCAGTCTCTTGGTGCATGGGTCGATGCTCAACCACTGAGCCACATCGGCCAGGCTATTTATTTATTTTTATTATTTTTTATCCTCACCCGAGGACAGTTTTGCATTTATCTGCAGATAGAGCAGGATGGAGAGAGGAAGGAAGAGAGAGAGAGAGAAACATCAATGTGAAAGAGACATATCAACCGGCTGCCACTCACACAACCCCAACCAGGGCTGGGGACAAACTGCAACCCAGGTACGTGCCCTTAGCAGGAACCGAATCTGGGACTCTCTGTCCATGGGACCACACTCAATCCACTGAGCCACACTGGCTGGGCCACAGTGTCTTTATTTATTTATTTATTTTAAATATATTTTTATTAACTTTTTTAGAGAGAGAGGAAGGGAGAGGGAGATAGAAACATCAATGAGAGAGAAACCAGTCAGCTGTCTTGTGCATGTGCCTACTGGGGATCGAGCCCCAAACTCAGGCATGCGCCTGACCAGGAATCGAACCATCAACCTCCTGCTGCATGGGTCAGTGCTCAACCACTGAGCAACACTGGCCAGGCATACAGTGGCTTTATTTTATTTCATTCCTCAGAATTAATGTGTTCGTTAACTGCCAACATTTATAATAGCATTTACTATGTGGCAAGCACTGATTAAAGCTGTTTAAATACATTAACTGATTTAATTCTCACAGTAACCCTGAAAAGTAAATGCCTCTGTTATACCCATTTTATTTCTATTTTTAAGTGTTTTTATTGATTTTTTTAGAGAGAGGAAGAGAGAGATAGAAACATTGATGAGAGAGAAGCATCAACATCTGTTGTTGGCTGCCTCCTTCATGCCCCATACTGGGGATGAGCCCGAAACCTGGGCATGTGCCCTGATCTAGAATTGAACCAGGGACCTCTTGGTGCATAGGTAGATGCTCAGTACTGAGCCACACCAGCTGAGCTATTATCCCTGTTTAAAAAATATATATATACACACACACCCGTTTCTATTTTATTATTTTTTAATTTAAATTTATTTTTTTTCTTTGTTGATTTTACAGAAAGAGGAAGGGAGGAGAGAGAGAGATAGAAACATCGATGAGAGAGAACATTGATTGGCCACCTCCCGCAGCCTCCCCTCCTCGGAGATCAAGCCTATAACCTTGGCATGTGCCCTGTGCATGGAACCAGTGACCTATTGGTGCATGGGACAATGCCCAGCCAACTGAGCCACACCTGCCAGGACTATCCCCATTTTAAAATGAGAAAAACAAGCCCAGAGAAATTAACTGAATAACTTGCCCTAGGTTCCAAAGCTAATGAGTGGTGGATCAAATCTAGGCAGTCTGTCTCCAAAATTTATGTTCTTTATCACTACACACTACTGCTTCTCCTTACCTCAGAACCCAGAACCTGTACACATTCTTTTGGCTACAGTGCTCCTGCCAATCCCCTTCCCCACATGTTTATCTAACTGCTAGTTACCTTTCAAGTGTTAAACATTTACCCAAAGAACCTTTAGTTAGGATAGGTTCTTCTATACACACACAGACCACTTTTAAATGCCTCCATAGGTCTCTGTACTTGTGATCTTTAATCAGTTAAATAGTATATATATGATCATTGGTTGCCTT